AAACAAAATGGCTAATTAAGGATAATTAAAAATCAGCTTATTTGTATGCTGAACAATGTAATTGAACTTTAAATCATCATAGTCTTATTAATTTGGAAAATTAGAAAACATCTGAAGAGGGAAATCATTAATAATGGTTTATTACTCTTTCTAGAGAAGAAATGTAAAGTTATACATTTTTTCAGTGCAATTATTTGGTAGTAATAGTAAAGATGGGAGTTAATATTTTATTTACAATAAGTAGTTTATATATATACTTGCTTTCAAATATCATACTGAAATGAAATGAACTTATGTTTATGCTATACCAACAATATATATAAACTAAAAGTGATTGCCACATATTCAATCATTAAAAAAACCCATTTAAGTAAACCATGTTATAAGTAGCTATTTAAGATCCTGACTGAAGCTCTGAACGTGGATATACATATAACCTTTAACATATATAATGAAGAAATATGATGGCTCATTATTAAAAATAATACCTGGATAATATAAATTGAGCTAAAATTATTTATGTATTTTCACATACTTATAAATCCTTTCAAATAGTATTAATTCTATACTTTTACATATAAGGGACTTAATAAATGTGTTGGAAAAATAGATGTTCACAGCACCACTGTTTATTCTTTTAAGATAATAAAACTTCATGAGAATTCTTCTAGATTAGAATATTTGTTCACTTCATCTCCTAATTAGGTGCATTGAAGACCTTTTCCCTTATTGCCCTACCCACATATTTACACAAAAATAAATTTAAAAAGTTGTGGGGGCAACAAATAAAATTGTATGTGTTTGAATGATTTTCTAGTTTTCATCTAGCTAATCTCATTTCATAGGTCCTGAATAATTTACCATTGGCTATTGTACTAATAATACTAAAATGAAACTTAATATTTTTGTTGTTAACTGTCACCAATTTAAGATTTTTGAAAACAACAATTAAAGGGTTTTCTTTTTCTTTTAATTAAAAAAGTCATATAAGTCCTTATTGGCTCTACATTTTTGATGTCTGCTGGTACTATTCATCAGTGAGTTAGAGTATGTGTGGAGGCCCAGCTCTCAGCTCTAATGCAAAGCATATTAGCATCAAGTGTTAGTAAATTTCAAACCGCAGCACAGAAAAGTGAGCTAAAATCAAGTCTTGATGGGTTAGTGTATAGTAAACTATACCTATGGAATTTTTTTTTAATAGAAGACAAAGCTGCTCATATGGGATTTGTTCATTTTGAGAAAACAAAGGGAAACAAACACAAAAACCTCAAAGCAGTGTACAAATAACATTTTGTTCAACTACCTCTTAATGTGGAATTAGCTAGTTTAATAGTTTCCTCACAGTAATGTTAAATAGTAACTGCCAAATTTGTTTCCCATCTCTCTTTAAAAGGCTTTATGGTTATTTTATAGTTTTGAGAACTTTAAATTCACTTTTTTTTAAACCTTGCATTTGCATAAAAATGTTTAGCTTTTAAGTGGAGAGCAAATTATGATCATATATTTTGATATTCATGATCTATTGACTATAGAATTTTTTTAATGCACTTTGGCTATAAAACCATGAATGACTTGTTCTATAAGATTTAAATGTGCCGTCAATTTAGTATTCCTAGACATGAGTGTGATGAATGGTATTCTGTAATTATAATATGCCACACATTAGCGTGTCTTAATTTCCCTTTGCCTGAATTTTAACAATCAATTTGTTAATGTTGCAGATGTGAATATTGTGCATAAACTTACTAAATTTATGTAAAATTGTGTAAAATAGAATTGGAAATAGTGAAGTTCTTCCAGTATAGGAGTAATGAATTTATTGTAACATGATGCAGTTATGTATATGACATTCTGTATTTCTTTGAACTGGATCATATATTCATATCCTCTGTAGATACTTTTGCATGAGCATTTTCTTGTTTAGTTTTTGGATTCATTATTTGTATTGTGTTTACTACTTGTGATCATGTTGTTGTGCCTTATTTGTGAGAGAGTTTAGCTAAAAAATACTGTAATTTCTAAACTCAGTGATTGAAGGTTATTGATTATAAATGTAACTAATAAATTACATGACAGCATTTAAATCTGTATAAAGATCAATGGAAGGATCCTTATTGTTGCTTTTGTTTTTTTAATATGTTAAAGATGATATTAAAAACATTTCTTTCTAGTAGATGTATTCTGTGGCTACAAATTATTTTGTCTATTTAAAAAAAGAACAAGATATTAACCGTTTTGCATTAATTTATTTACAGAATGTTAGAACTTTGCACTTGGATATAGACAGTGAGTATGCTTTAATGTTCAACTTAGAATAATAATTAAGTTTACAATTTCAAGAAAAATTACTGATGTCATTTTGCTTGAGACATTCCCTTTTCATTCCATTCATCATTGTGAAATTTAGCAAAACTAAAAAAAAAAATACTAAAGAATATTAAATTAATTTTTTTGTTGTTGTATATCTAATTTAATACCCAGGTGACCTTTTAAAGATACTCTTGCGAAGGCTCAAAATAGCATTGTTTTTTACTGCACCTCCTTCCCCCTGCCCCGAACCAAAGTTCTAGAGATATTTTTTCATTTTATTCTAATATGCTTCCTTCTGAAGAGTACACTGTGTATATCCTCAAGCACTTAATATATTACATATATAGCATTTTCTTTTTTTTAAATTTTAACATGAGATTTACTCTTATGACCTCTTTTTAAGTGTATAGTAGATCTCTAGAGCTTACTCATCTTGCTTAACTGAAACTTCAAGCCTGTCGATTAGTAACTGCCCATTTCCCTCTCTATTTCACTGGCAACCACTATTTCATACTTTGATTATAGAAAGGTGACTATTATTAGATGCCTCATACAAGTAGAATCATACAGTATTTGTCTTTCTGTGACTGGCTTATCTCACTTAACATGATGTCTTCAAGATTCATCCATGTTGTTGCATATTGCAGAATTTCCTTCTTTTTGAAAGCTGAATAGTATTCCATTCTATACATATATACCACATTTTCTTTATCCATTCATCTGTCAGTGGACATTAAAGTTTTTTCCACATATTGGCTATTGTATATAGTATATTCTTAAGTTATTTTACATTCTTGATGTTAATTTAGTCAGTCTCCTTTAATGATATTTTAGGAAGAAACTAGTCCTTTATACATATAAATACATGGTTACTGGACTCATGGGACTAAAGGAATCTTGAGAGATTGCCTATTTTTTGTCCATTGTCCTTCTCCAAAGTCAGCTTATATCTAAAAATCTCTGTAAGATGATTGTTAATTTCTTTTTCATATATATATATGTGTGTGTACATTCCCCCCCCCCCAGTCTTTTCTTGCATAAGTCAGTATTGTCTTGTCCTGAATGTAAATTGCTTTCAATGTCATCTAGGTCCCATCTCTAGGAATTCACTTGAAGTCTATTCTCCCTCTCATTTATTTTTAACCTTTAACAGTAGTTACTGCTTTCCAGGTTTTCCTTTTATTTTCACTTACTCCTCCAAATTTCTGACATTATTACACAAAGATGATGACCCTCCATTGCAATAGTGCTAGGTCTGTGCACAAGAGCCTTTGTGCTACACTTGTCTGTACTGCCTGTTTGTGTGGTGAAATTAGCCTTTTCTTCAAAGCATTAACTGTACACATGACTTCCCTAAACATCATCCTCTTTGTCCCATTCTCCAACTTGAAGAGGTCAGTTAAGGTATCATGTCTTGCATCCCAGGTTGATAAATTTACTACTTCCATTTTGGAAATTGCTCAAGACACCATGGTTGAAATTGAAATTTGTGGATTTCCATTTGATATAATCTAACCATATGATAAAATAATTCAAGATGCCTTTTTAAATAAAAATTTAATGAAATTTCAAGTTCTGCTAAGTAAAATTAGGTGGCTGTACTATGATAAAACACACAACCCCATCCTCCTCAAAACCAGAAAATAATTTTATGACAAACCATTCTTTAAAAAATGAGGTTTAGAGAATGATATTTTACTATTCCTAAGACAATTTCCCATGTAAAAGTGTTAAATGTAAAACTGAAACATTTTATTTTTTAATAATGGAGTTTAGTCTGGGATTTTCTATTTCCAAGTTAGAGTATTATGAAATACTAGAGGCCCGTTGCACAAAGAGATTCGTGCAATAGGCCTTCCTTCCCCTGGCTGCTGGCACTGGTTTTCCTCCGGCACCCAGGACCCAGGCCTTTGGTCCGGGTGCAGCAGAGAAGCCAAGCCACTTCAGTCTTCAGTCATCTTCAGTTTTCAGTCCTCTTCAGTCTTCAGTCTTCACTCTGGCCGGAGCCTTCAGTCTTCGCTTCACACTGTGTATGCAAATTAACCACCATCTTTGTTGGTTAATTTGCATAGTCGCTCTGATTGACTGGTGGGCATAGCAGAGTGACACCAATTTGCATGTTTCTCTTTTATTAGTGTAGATTCCTGAGATAAGTGAACTGTGAGAATTGGAATTTAAAAACTGCTTTTAAAATGAGGACCTTATTTATCACTTAATATATTAAAAGAGCAATCAAACTTTGTGTCAAAAAAATGATCTATGTGTGAGGCAGGACTATAAAGCAGTATGTGATTTATAAGCCATGTAGGGATGTTGGTTTCATTATAGGTATACACAAAGTAAGATGCTAGAATTCATATTGGACACAAACATTTTCCTCCTGCCACTCCGAACAGTGAACATCTAATCACTCACCCTTTACAAATTATAACAGCATCACACTTCACTCACACCTCTTATAAGTCTGACTGAAGCATTTTAAGGTAGTCTGGATATCAGTATATACTTGACAAGAAATTCCCCAGAATTCAAATTTGTTGCAGTCATCATTTCTCTGTACTGAGGATTTTCTTCACTCAAATTCTGGAGCTCCTTTAAAAGACACGTTTTCTTCTAGCTCATCACTAAGTATTACAAAAGTTTGAAAGAATACCTTTATTCTTCATTTCTAAAACATTAGTTTTAGGTCCCTAAATTTCAGAAGATTCTGTGGATGATCTGAATAAAGATATTTTCTTGGTTTCCTGACTCTTGGTGAAGCAAGAGATTGCTGCTGTTATTTGTGCCATCCATGTTTTCTGTAAAACAAAAACAACAAATACACACACACACACACACACACACACACACACACACACGGGGGTGAGGGGAGAGAAAAAGGGGAGAGAGAAGAATATTAACCTGACAATTTTTTCACACTTGGATTAATCTTTCCCTTTGTATTTATTGACTTGCTCTTTTAAACTGAGGACTAATGAAACACTTGCCTGTTTCCCATTTTCTTTCTTACATCTAATATATCATCAATATCTCTAATTATGTATGAAAATGCAATTGGATTAAATGAGTATGTTAGGCAAGTGGGGTAGTCATGAGTAATCAAAGAACCATAATAATCAATTATGACTAATTAGAATATAAATAGTTTGAACATTAAATTTGTTTTGTCTGGAATTAGAAGTTCTTTAACTAATGGTATAATTTGAAAAAGAGATTGAGGGAGATGACTCAGGAAACTGAGTCCTTGAGGAGAATGCAGTATTGCATTCATTGTCTGGCCATACCCTTTTACTGTGATGAAAGCCTACCAAAAGAAAGATAAAAAATGGAAACTTCTAAGATAGAGGAACCATAGTCAGGCAGCCTATCTTCAACTCCATTTCTGTAAAAACTGGCATTATTTTCAAAGGTCAAAGAGTAGACTTCTTGTCATGGTTCATTGCTGCAGCAGCCCCTCACTTAAGTTGACATCATATTATTTGCGGGACTTCAGAAACTGATTGGAGCATCTTAAAAGCCAAGCATACCATCCAAAGCAGCCCTCCCCCCATTTCATACGGAAAGTAGAATCAGAAGTCGTTCTGGAGCTTTCTGCCACAGGAGAAATGGGGGGCTGTGGCAACTCTGCGAGTGGGCGAGGATTGTCCCCTTGAGGTTTCTGAGCATGATGTGGACTAGATGGCCCTATTCCTCCCCACCTCCCAGCATCTGTCCTTTCCAAAGCAGGTGAGGGAAATGCACAAAACTTTCCATTCACCTTTACTTAGACTTGGGGTTGAGATTTTTCCTTCCATCAAGTTTAAAGAATCAAAACCTACAAAATTAAAATACATACTTTGATGTTTTCTGTTTGGGCTTGTAATAAGAATGCTGCTATGCACTGTCGATATCGGCTTTCATGTTGAATAAGGAAGGCATTTCTCAGTCCAAAGACTAGAAAAAGATCCAAAGACAAAAAGCCAAATCATTTAATATGAAATCCAAACAGCGACTTAGTTCCCTAAGAACTTACCGGTAGAGGTGTTTGTTTGTTGTTTTTTAAAGAAGGTGGAAGATATTTGTAAATTACAAAACAAGGTCTGATTTCAAAACCAAGACTTCACCACTATGTCCAAATGGAGCCACTTAAACAAGGAAACCCTTTCTTCCTTAACTAACAACTTCCAGGGCTTGATGAAATGCAATAATGGCATGTGATGGAAAGTGGGCTCCTACTCAAGGAAGAAGCTTAGCATGTTAGCATGTTGGATTTTGTGTGTGTAAAATATAGATAATAAAAATATGGAAAACAATGGGATTACTGTTTCTTTTTAGACCCCTTACTAAAATTTTTTATTTATTTTTGTATTTAAAAGGAAGCCACATCAAAACAAGGGTTATAAACAAACTAGAGGCCTGGTGCACAAAAATTTGTGCACTCGGGGGTCCCTCAGCCCAGCCTGTGCCCTCTCGCAGACTGGGACCCCTCGGGGGATGTCCACCTGCTGGCTTAGGCCTGCTCCCCGGGGGATTGTGTCTAAGCTGGCAGTGATACATCCCTTGGGGGATGTCCACTTGCTAGCGGGCTGAAGCTGCAGTTGAACATCCACAGAGCTGCTGAGGAGGCAGGAGAGGCTCCCACCATCGCTGCTGTGATGCCTTCAGCCTGGCTTGTGGCTGAGCAGAGCTCCCCCTGTGGGAGTGCACTGACTACCAGGGGGCAGCTCCTGCATTGAGCATCTGCCCCCTGGCGGTCAGTGTGTATCATAGTGACCAGTCATTCCCAGTCGTTCTGCTGTTAGGGTCAATTTGCACATTACCACCCTAACGGGTTTGGCTCAGTGGATAGAGCATCGGCCTGCGGACTGAAGGGTCCCAGGTTTGATTCCCGTCAAGGGCATGTACTCTGGTTGCGTACACATCCCCAGTAGGGGGTGTGCAGGAGGCAGCTGATCGAAGTTTCGCTCTCATCGATGTTTCTAACTCTCTATCCCTCTCCCTTCCTCTCTGTAAAAACTCAATAAAATATATTTGGGAAAAAAAATTGCATGTGCATATTACCCTTTTATTATATAGGATAGAAGCCTGGTGCACAGGTGGGAGCCAGCTGGTTTGCCCTGAAGGGTGTCCCAGATCAGGGTGGGCAGGGGACCCCCAGCTCCCTATGATCGCCCACGCCGCCCATGCAGCCTCAGCCCGCAGCTGCAGCCTCCCCCGATCGTGGGCTCCGCCCCTGCCTGGGCCTAACGCCTCTGGCTGAGGCGTTAGGCCCGGCCAGGGACCCCCCCAAGCTGCAGCCACACCCCTATAGTGGGCTCCGCCCTGCCTGGCCTAACGCCTCTGCTGAAGCGTTAGACCCGGGGCGGGGGACCCCCCAAAAGCTGCGGGCCGCCCCCCCCTATTTTTGGTTCCCCCCCCTGGCCCGGGCCTTAAAGCTTTTTGGCCAAGGGCTTAAACCCCGGGCGGGGGGACCTTTTTGGTGGGGGTTGCCCCCCCATATAAATGAGTGAGGCTTGTTCCGTGGATTTTGTGAGTATGTTCCTTATAATTGATAGAGGAGTAGGCTCATTCGATCTCCCATGGGGTGGGGTTTGT